ACGCCCTTAATAACCGACACGAACTTCAATATATGTATGGTGTGTTTGAAATTCTCAGAGATTGCAAATTCAGTGAGTTTTATGATGTGAGGGTTCTTAATATCCTTGATGGGAGCCCAGTCAGGATCATCCATGATAGGATTCCAGTTACTTTTGACACTTGTCAACGCAAACGTGTGAAAAAAGAAGAGGACAAAGGACAAGAGAAGAAGAAAGATTGTCTTATTCATTTTATTGTTTAGTTAATCTTTGCTTTATTAACTAAAACTATGGTTGAGTAAGCTTAAGAGAGTTTCAGAACTCTTATAATAGAGGGTTTGAGATAGAGATTTTCTCAAGTTGATAAGTTAGTTTTTATTTGACCAAAAAACATAAAATAAAGAAAAGTTATTGTTTGACCAGAAGACAGATTATTATCTGATCCACAAAAAAGGAGACAAAATATTATATGACCTACAAAAAAAGAATGAAGATTATCATTTGACCCACGAAAAAGAAAGTAGAATATTATGTGACCCATAAAACAAAAGTAAGGTAAGTTATTATTTGACTAGAAAAAGTGAAACAGATTATTATTTGAGCCGTAAAAAGGAGTCAAATTACTATTAGACAAAAAAAAAAGTGAAACAGATTATTGTTTGATCCACAAGAAAAGAATCAAATTATTATTTAACCAAAATAAAATTGAGATAAACTACTATTTGACCCACAAAAAAGAGAAATTTTAATTTGACCCATGAAAAAGGGAGAGAGAAAATATTATTTAAGTAATTATTTGACCGAAAAGTAAAACATATTATTATTCACAAAGTGATTTTTCAGAATCCAAAATTAGATTTTAAAAGAAAAAGATAATTCCTATATATACTATGTTGTTGTCTGAAAAACATATTTTAATTAAAAATAAAAATTAAGAAATAGAAACACATATAACTAAATATTAATGAAGTAAAATCTTAGTTTGATATAGTCAAATTATATAAAATTTGATTCTTCAAAATTGCTAATTAACATGATCATAATATATGTCAATAGAATTTAAGATTGTGACAAATCTCTTCTGTTTAAAATTTAAAGATATTTAGAAGAAAAAAATGTTCTTACAAAATAATATTTTTTACATTTTTAGTAATTTAGAATATAAAAATTACTATTACACAAAATTTTCTATTTTTATTTTGTTTAGTATTTTAGAAAAAATCTTATTATATAAAATTTTGTTAAAAAAATGCTAATTAGCATAATCACGGCATGTGTCAATAAATAATTTAAGATTGTGCATGGGTCAAAAATAGTATACAAATCTATTTTGTTTAAGATTTCAAATAGATTTAGAAAAATAGATGTTGTTTCAAAAAGAAAATAAGTTATCTTAGTTTTCTAAAATCCGATAAAAGAACCGTAAAATAATATTTTTAAAAATAACTATTAATTGATTTTGTAGAAAACAGAGACGCATCTTTACTATTAGAGAAGAGCACATGAAATGGGTCATTAAAGCTTCATGATATGAGTTATCAGAATCACCATTTCATTGGAATATAGCATAAGTTTTGATTAGAATAGAAAGCATCATGAAAGTAATAAATTGCCCCTTACAAAATATATCAATATGTCTAAGATTATCCCTTACAAAGGACAGCAATATGTCTAAAATAAGTTTAAACCAAACAGTAAAATATATCTCTAAATATTGCATCCAAGAACATCGGCCGGATTGGTATCTCTACTAATTCCCTCAAGTGCATGCAAAACATTCTCGAGATTCTAAACACTGTTCGATTGTACCATGCTAAACCATAAATAAAATTATGAAACATTATAATTAGAAAGAGAAATTAGAAGGACAAAACTTACATTTAGGATAAGTTGTGGAATTGCGAAAAGCCTTGTGCATAACTGAATGATTTGTTTCCTCAGATTGCTTTCTTCAGGTTGAGGGAAGCCGTAGCCTTTGGACAGAGCTGAACCTGTGATTTATGGAGCAACACACAAATACTGAGAACAATTTTCAGTTTTGTAGATTAGCTTCATATGTGGAAAAAATAACAAACTTAGAGAGAGTAATTGGTATCATAAATCTAAGTTTTAGAAGAATATTAGGTAAATTTGTTGAACAATGCAATATTATAATAGAAATCCAATCTAAAACAATTTAATCAAGTGTGTATATATATATATATATATATATATATACTAGGTGATTTTTTCGTGCTCATACACGAGTATAGATATTTATAAAGTAAATAAATTATAATAACTAATTTCTATTTACTTTTAATTTAAAATTAATTTATAATTTATATGCATAATTTATATTAATAATATTATATTACTTCAATTCGACATATGATTTTGACATGTTATATCTAGTCGGTTTTATTATTTTTACAGTTGATTTAGTTATCATTTGCCTATATATATATTAAAATTTTGATTAATTTTCATATTTTCATTTTGGTTGGTTGTTGTCTGAGATATGTAAATATAATTTAGGCAAATTATATATAACTTAAGATATTGTGCTTAGAATAAAATAGAAAATAAACGAAAGTGTTTGATTCCAAATTATATCAGTTAATATAACAATAATATAATGAAATCACATGCATGTACATAAATTTTACTAAAGAACTAAATTGTATCAGTTGGTTAATATTTTATATGCAATGTTAATATGTTTTCTGTCATCGTATAATTTATATTTATCAATTGGAAGTTACATAGATAAATAATTAATACATTTTTGGAAGCTCATAAACATGCATCAATATTTAATATAATTAAAATAATTTATATATTCTAAATAAGTTTACGTCTTAGATTACGGAATGGTAAACTGAATTTAGTTTAAATAGTCTTAAAAATGAGAATTCAGATTTGCTTTGATAGTTTGATTATAGTTATACTAGGTTCCACAAACACAAAATCATATATTTTAAAATAAAATTTAATATTAATAAAAAATAATTTTACCAATGATAAAATATAATATATCTAATTTTTTAAAGTATATAGTGTTATGTTTTTAAAAAAATATTTTATAATTATTTCATCAGAAAATGTTTATTATTCTTTTAAAAATTAATGTCTCTTAAAAATAAGTAGTAAATAAACTGCGATTGTATTCGAAAAATCATAAGTAAAATATAATAAATAGATATTTTTTACTGTAATTGAAAGATATTATAGTCAGTTAAATATATGAAATCAAATAAAAGATTTTAATAATACTAAGGAAATTGTTAAATATACCATTATCGTAATACCTTTTTCATATTTACAACAATCATTTTTACCATCACTTTTATTAAAGGGTAAAAGACTTTTATTACCTTAAATTAACTTAACCAAAATAGCCTAGGATCAACTAATTTAAATTTAAAACCTCAACTCTAAACCCTAAACCTTAAAATATCAACTTTAAACCCTAAATCATCAACTCCCAACCCTAAAACACACCTTAAACATACAAATCTAAACACTTATCTCTAAACTCTAACTACGAAACCCTAAACCTTCGGTTCTAAATCCTAAACCCAAAAACATTAATTCTAAACCCTAAACCCTAAAACATCAACTCTAAACCCCAAATCTTTAACTCTAATTCAAAAACCCTAAACCCTAAACCCAAAATCCTAAATCCTAAAACATCAATTCTAAACCCTAAACCCTAAAACATCAACTTTAAACCCTAAACCCTCAAACGTCAACATTAAACCCTAAACATCAACTCTAAATCCTAAACCTTCAACTCTAAATCCTAAACCCTAAACTTTATATTTTTGAAATTTGAATACTAAACCCTAAAACACTAAACTCTTGGGTTTAGGGTTTAAAATTGCGAGGTAGGCAAAGTTTAGGGTTTAGAGTTGAGTGTTTAAGTTTTAGAGTTGAATATCTACGGTTTACGATTTAGGGTTTAGGTTTTAGGGTTTAGAATTGAGTTTTTAGGGTTTAGCGTTTATATTTGATGTATTAGGATTTAGGGTTAAGGAGTTGATGTTTTAGAGTTTAGCGTTTAGATTTGATGTATGTGAGATAAGGTTTAGGGTTTAGAGTTGAATGTTTAGGGTTTAGGGTTTAGAGTTGATGTTTTAGTATTTAGAGTTTAGAGTTAATGTTTTAAGGTTTTAGGGTTTAGATTTGATGTTTTAGGGTTTAGAGTTTAGGGTTGATGATTTAGGGTTTAGAGTTGATGTATTAGGATTTAGGGTTTAGGGTTTTAAATTGTTGGTTTAGGGATTAGAGTTGATGGTTGATGTTTTAGGGTTTAAGATTCAAATTTCAAAAAAGTATTATTCAAAAAAAGTTATTTATTATATATATATATATATAGAATATAAGGGTATAAGAATCTTTTATCTTGTACTAAACAAGGTATTTTTGAAAATGATTTTTTGTTAGTGGCAAATATGAATTTCCCATAATACTAATTATTAACTATTTTTGGTCAACTAAACATATATTAATTTATGTTAATTAAATATTTTATGTAATCATCTAAGAAGATAGATAGATATATAAAAATATTTTATTACTTTGAATACATGTTATTTGATATTATGTTTTCAAATAAATAATATTTCATTTTTAATATCAAGATTATTTTATTAACTATTTTTGGTCAGTTAAACATATATCAGTTTATGTTACTAAATTATTATAGGGAATTTGTCTAATCTAGTATACTTGCTGGTATTTATACCTTAATCAACCTTTTTTTTTTTTTTTGGTAAAATACCTTAATCAACTTTACTACTATTAATTTTTAATATGCAAAAGTACTATTACCCTTCATTTCATTAATCGATCTATTTCTTCTTCGAATCTTCGTGGCAATATCAAATTGAGACGAGCTCCATGAGATCTCAGGCGAACTCGGCGAGATAACAAGCACACACTATTGTGCTTCTTCGACAACACTGTCCGAGGCTTGCCTCTGGTGTCTGTTCTTGTTGTAGCAATACGAATGATTTATAACATCAATGGGTTTTGGTATGTGGGAACAGAGTTTGGTGGTTGATGCTGCTAGTGAGACAGAGGAGTCTGGTGATGATGAAGACAAGTCAAGAAGTTTGACACTAAAGAAAGAGCTTATGAAACGAAATATAATATGCTGAAAATGATCTTTTTCGTCGTATTTATCTCAAGGGAAAAACAACGAGATCTTTGCTGGATTAGAAGCTGATGACACATACAGAACCGTTGGTAAGCTGTGGAATAGTTACCAGAAGGAAGACGAGGAGGGATCTGAGACTCCAATCAAGAGGGGGAAGAGAAACTCCTTGTACTAGTAATAATGCAACAAAAAGCGAGCCATCATTGGAATCTTCTCCATCACCAGATGATATCATAATCAAGAAGATTGATCCAAGGAGAGAGAGCGATAAGTAGGCTAATAGCAGACGTGGGAAAGAGACAAGGATATATTCAATATGTGAGGAAGAAAGAAGATGGAGCATTAACGTAAACGCTGATTACTTAAAGAAGATTGTTTAGTCTTAGTTTCATCATTCAACTGTTTTTTTGTTTGTTGAGGATTGGGTTATAGTTACTCTTATCAACTACAAGTGGCAGGTGATTATTGATTCATCAGACTACACAATGACTAGAGCAACATCTCCAGGTTACTTGAGTTTGGACAATTTCAGCAATTAGCTCGCTTCAGAGAGAGACAGAGTTTCGTGTGAGTTACCTTTGACAACAAGGGTGGTTATTTCCCGAGTTGCCTTATATGTCACTTTTGTTAATGGAGGAGATACATTTGTGTGCATTTATCTTTGCAGTGAAATGAATGCATGGGAGTCCATTTCTCGCCATGTGGGAGGTATTTAGCAGCCTGTGTTATTCCTCTTGCTGAGACAGATCCTGGTTTCCAGACTCTGCTCTAACAAGATTCAGGCTTGCAACTTCCCTTACTCGACATCCTGCATGTAGTGTCTTTTATTCAAGTAATATCAGTTCTTGGTGTTGGTTTTGGTATTAAAATTTGTGGAGACTGGAGAGTGATGTTGATGTACGTTATGGATAATTAATGTGTTCAATTGTTGATGTGTAATCTCGTACACACTTTCTCATAGTTTAGATTGGTGGAGTGTATGTATTGGTTGGACGAACAGTGACTGTTGAATCATCAAACTCTTATCTTCTTTCGTTCAAGTTTTTTTTTTTTTTTCTTGGAAACCAAGGAGGACACATTACCTATAGTAGGAATCTGTTGAGCATTTGACATTTTTAACTGTAACAAAGGATACGTGTCCGTTTGACTCAAACACTAATATTTTCAACATTGTTCTCAGTGGATGGCATTATGTGATAAGTAGCCCGGGGAAGCTAAACGAGTCTGGATGAAGATGGGAAATATAGAAGTCAAGCATGATATCTTGCTATATATTCGAAAGAAGTGTATAGAGCTAGATAGAAATGTGTACAATGCAGTCGTTCATACCCTTGCCAAAGCTTAGGTTTGTTGTCTCTGACTCTGAGGGTATCTTAATGTTTGTCCTTGATGCAATGCTCTCCCGTGGTTTCAAGGATCAGGTTTGTCAAGCTGGCATCTTTGTCTGTTTATGTTATGGTTAAACTCAGATTTTTGCTTTGGTTATAACATTGTTTTCATGTGCAGATCTATGACAGATTCCAGCTTCCCTTACCAGATTCAAGTTGTGAGTGTTCTGTTCTCAACTACAATGCCACCAGAAGCTCTTGAGATCACAAGGAAGTTCATGAGCAAACCAGTGAGAATCTTGGTGAAACGTAATGAGCTAACACTTGAAGGTTTCAAGCAGTTCTACGTGAACGTGGAGAAAGAAGAGTGGTGGAAGCTCGAGGCTTGGGAGGTTTGGAAGAAGTGGGAGGTTTGGGACGAATGGCGTGGCGATTAACTTTGTGACTCGCGATGTTGAGAGAATGCTTTTTCATATTCAGAAATTCTACAATGTGGTTGTTGAGGACACGTAGCTGATCTTCTTTGAAGAAGAAAAAGCGGTTACTTGCTTACTGTGAATCATCTCGCGACCACTTTTTCATTTTCTAATATTCACCAACTCTCTAGAACATATGTCATCTCTTCTGACCATTTTTCATTTTAACTCATGCAATGTTTATGTATTTTCTTGTATTTCTTCTAACCATTTTAGTCATTCGTAATAGTTAGAAGGTTTAAAAGGGTTTACAAACTAATTATTGAACTATGATTATAAATGACTTTTACCATGATTATAAACAAATTATAAAGGCTTATAAACTAATTTATAAAAACTTATAACTAATTAATAAGAATTTATAAAATCATTTATAAGGTTTGTAAACTGATTTGTAAAGGTTTATAAACTAATTTAATAAGGTTACTAGGTTAATGTATAAAAAGCTTATAAAATGATTCATAAAGGTTTATAAGTTTATTAATAAAGTTTTATAAACTAATTTAATAAGGTTACTAAGTTAATGTATAAAAAGCTTATAAAATGATTCATAAAGGTTTATAAGTTAATTTATAAGAGTTTATAAACTAATTTACAAAGGCTTATAAACTAATTTAAGGGTTTAGAAGTTGATTTATAAATCTTTAGAAATTCATTTTTATTCATGATAAAATCCTTATTATATAATTTATAAACTGTCATATATTAACTCTTACAAATGGCTTCATAAACCTTATAAAAATTTAACAAACCCTTATAGAATCTTTATGAATCTTAATGTACACTTACAAAGACTGAAACAGATTTTGTCCTTCCTCATACGATCAAGTTCTGTATCAGAAAACTGTAACCGAGGTCTCAGATTGTTTCTTTGTTATGGTGCATTCTCCTTATTTGCTCCCGTGTCAGTCTTTTGATTATCTCCACTCTTACTCAGTTGAGTGACAGTAATTTGTATGATGTTGAAAACCTTTCTGTCCGCCACTACCCGTAGCTGAACTAACCACCTTACAAAAATCTGTGCTCTGCATCTTTAAAATGGCAAGCTTGTGATCAGTTAAGGTCACTGGTTCCTTCATGCGTATAACTTCCTTCATCTTCGGGTTGAGACCATTAAAGAACACTTTGATTAGATTCTTCTCATCGACCCCACTAACTTGATTGCTCAAGGCCTCAAACTCATTCACATAGTCAACAATATCTCTTTCTTGTTTCAAACAAAACAATCTTGCTGCGGGATCATTATCAATTGGACCACCAAATCTCTCCAGCATCCTGTCTGTGAACTGCTCCCAACTCCCAAACGGATCGTTGATAACTTCTCCATTAAACCAATTGAACATAAGTCCCTCCAAACTCAACGAAACCAAGTTCATCTTCTCTTCATTACTATAGTTACCAATCCCGAAGAACCTCTCCACACGTGAAATCCAATCAAAAGGTAACTGACCAGAAAACACAGGCATCTCCACTTTTCTCAACATTTTATCCCGGTTCACCAAAGTATGTTGCATTCCTCGATAACCTAGCTGTGATGGAGATACTTCCGGTTCAGAGTTAAGGATCAGTACCTGACGTGGTTGCGGTTGTGATGGAAATACGATCTCCTTTCCAGGTCTTTGATTGATAACGGAATTCACCTCGATTATAGCTAGTGTCGCAGCAATCAAGGTCATTTGACTTTCGAGAGCTCCAAATCACAGATTCGAATCCATACCAAGCACCACAACTTGTCTCTCCAACGAATCAACCTTCGCCGTCATCGAATCGAGCTTCCCCGTCGTTGTTTGATCATTCCAATCCATCTTCTCATAGTTGAGATTCGCCATTGCAATATCATCTTAGATTTGTTGTAGATCTAAAGATTTCGCCGATTCTGAGCTCGTTGTCCTCTCCCGATCCTTGTTTCCACCATTTCGTCACTACGTGGTGGTTCCGATCAAGTTTCGCCGCACCAATGATATACTATAGATCTATGTAAAGAGAGAAACACTTGTAATCTTTATTGAATTAAAGAAAGAGTTACAGCTTTGATAGTGAATTGAGCTAAGCTCTCATGAGGAACTTAGATCAACACACTCGTCTCATAGCAACGGTGAAGTACAAACTCATAACATCCGTAACAAACAACATCAAAGCATAACCTCTAACAAACTCACAACTACTATTTATAATGGATACTCCATAATGGCAAAGCCTCTTTCCTAACCCGAAGGTTCCAACGTCTCTCTTTATTCGAATTAAAACTCCCACGCCTTAAAGGCTCTTTCTCAAACAGAAGTTTCCATCTCCTCATATTCTTCTTGCAAAAGACTTTCCTCGGCCCTATTACTTGTCCCACACACTTCGTTTCCCTTCTTCTTTCTGTAAAATACCTTATTGAACCTATCAGTTTGTGTTTTTTCAAAAAAAAAAAATCTGTTGTTTAATGAGCTCTCTGAGCTTTAGATTCTGGGTCTTCCTTATGTTTTCATTGAGTTCAGTTCTGGTTTTGATTAGATCTAGATTGGGTTTTCTGATCTTGAGATGGAATAAAATTGCTTGTTATGGCTATTGGTATTGTTGTGTTTGGTTGGTGATGACTGAGGACTATAGTGAGATACTTCCTTACATCAAAATGTAAAGTCTTTGCAACCACAAAAGACAGACGTCGAATTCTCTGAAGATCTAAACTTTCGCTTGTTACTAGATTGAAGACATAGTTTTTGAATGATTTATAAATGTTAATAAATCATTTATAAACTTCTATAAATGATATATAATTTTTTTTATAAATGATATATACACTCTTTTAAATGATTTATAAACTCTTATAAAAGATATAGAAATTCTGTAAAAATGATATATAAATCCTTATAAATGGTTTATAAATCACTACAAATGATTATAAACTCTTATAAATGATTCATAAACCTTAATAAATTACTTATAAGGGTTCAGAATTAAGCTAAAATAGTTGTGGGATTTAAATGTTTAAAGTAACATATCAAGAAAGTAACAGGTGAGTTGTTTTCAAATTGATTAAAGGCGCTAGTCTAGGGTTTATTTTCAGGCAAGGAACTCGCAAGCCAAGCAATTATTCAAGTCCAGTTTATGTAGGTCTATACTTGGATCACTCGGAGTAGACCAACCCACTTTTGTGGTATTGGTTCTCTTTGCAAATCGGTCTTGATACCTACACTCTCGTTTGGATCAAGACACAACAGCAAGCCTTAGAGATCAAATCCGATAAGTTCACAATACAACCTAATATCTACTATCGCTAATTAGGGATGCAAATCTCATTCAAATCATATCAAGTTATCAACCAACGGTTAGCAATCGATTAACCCTAATTCATGCACTAAGTGATCAGTTCAATGCAAGCAATA